CTCCCACCGTCCGATCCGGCGGTCCCGCTCCTTGGTGTCTGCCCACAGGAGCGGAAAGTGCACGTCCACGCAGAGACCTGCACGTGGAGGTGCCTCCCACACGTGGCCTCACCCCGCCTTTTCCTTTCAACTGCAAAGCCCGGGAAGACGCCGCATCGTCTGTCTGCTTCCTGCAGAGTTTGCTCAGCGCCTTTTGAGGTTCAGCCGCTAAACGCTTTGAGACTTGTTGGCTTGCTGCCTCCACCCACCAAAAAACAATCTGAAGGGTTGACTTTTCCTCTGTGCAGTCGACCTTGGAACAGCGTGGGGTTGAACTGCGAGGCCCCACTGCCACGTGGACTGCTTTCTATAGTAAGTACGTGTAGAAAATGCTACGTGGCCTGAGGGCGGTCGGGCCCTGGGTGCAGAACTGCAGGCACAGGGGAACCACGCCAGGGGGCCGCCGCCGCCAAGTCCTGCTGGGCCCCCACCGGGTGGAGGGCCAGGGTTCCCACTGTTGCTCAGGGTCAGCCGTCTCCTCCTCAGGGGGCACTGGATGGCATTTCCAAATCACGCAGCTCCACCCCAAAGCTACGACACTCATCATCACGTATTTATATGAACAGATGCGCTACATGTTTATTTACATGCTCAATATTTACTTTAGAGATTATACAACCGACCACCAAGGATGTCTTCTGCATCTTAGGTCTGACGCTAGATGTGAAGGAATCAAAGTTGGACACAACATTAAAGGAGCCCCCGGACCAGCGGAAAATAAGCAAATTGGATCTGTAGCGCTTTACCAATACAGAGGAGCTCCCCCAAAGTCATCCCCAGTCTCACAGCACCTCTCAAGCAGGCCCTGACTTGGTCTCACTTGTAGGTGACATTTAGCAACAACAGTTCAGATGACCAGACGGAAAAGCTACATGAAGCCGTTAGGAGGTGGACAAACACATCAGGTGAATGAGTCTGGATTTCGGGCTGACCGTTCATGACGCTCCTGCCTTCGTCCCTGCGCTTCTTCCTGTGCCTCACTAGTGCCGAGTGCCCTGGAAGACGGAAGTGATGTGGACCCAGGAGGAACAGGCAGCTCCTCCATCCTGTAAGCCTGAAGAATCCAGCGACACGAACACGCAGGCTGAGCTGGCGCTGTGGAATCGGAGACCTTCTATGCTGAGGCTGCCAAAGTTCATACCGCGAGACAGACCCCATGGCTGCCCGGGAGCAGGCCCGTCTCAGTCTCCGGGGAGGCCTCCTCCTGGTGTCTCTAGGTGGTCCTCATTCAGGATCACCAGCACTGACGGCTGCTCTCCACCCGCAGGCCCGTCCCGGTCAGCGGCGGCGGCGGCGGGCCCCTGCCAGCTCCTCCTCCCGCAGCCATGACAGCCCACACCGAGCGTCCGTGTCCGGGCATCAGCGCGCGCACAGGCCCCGCTGTGCTCCTGGGCCGCAGAGGATGTGCGGTGCTCTTCTGATGTGATCGGTGAGCTCATGTTTACACTCAAAAAAATCGAGCTGTGAAACGAAGCACTTTCTCCAGGAGAATGAACTCCATGTTCCAGTGACCTGAGGTCTGGGCTGCCGGCAGGAGTGCTGGGCGGATGTGACGTCGGCAGCAGCGTCGGGCCCCTGAATCCGGTGCCGTCGGTGTGGGCGTGGGGCTGATTCAGGCTCCCAGGGCGGCGCCCTGAACCGGCCTCTGGGCCCATCCGGGGTCTTGCTTTTCCTGCACAAGCAACCGCACGGAGCAGACACACCCACTCACTCTTCTCGATGTCGATGGAGCTGTAATTACCAAACGATGTTGCTGCTGCTCAGCTGGGGGGCGGGGAGGGGGGAAGTGTCTCCCGCAGAAACTGTTCGGAATGGCAGCTAATGAAAGGAGCGCCTGCCAGGAGGTGCCTTCGCCGGGCAAGAGCGAGGCGCCAGTTACAGGGGATGGTGAGGCGGCAGGCGTGTCACTACCACAGGGTCGCGCAGTCCTTCCTACAGCAAACACGCAGCCCCGTCTCGGAGGAACCAGAAACCAGGGAGGGAGGGCACCCTGGTCAGAGAGAAGAGTGGGTGGAGACAGAGACAGGGTGGCGGACAGACAGACAGACAAGCACTCCTGCGAAGCACCTGCTCTCTGCAGACGCCCTCTGAATGGGCCCCACAGAAGGGAGGACACGCTGCCTGACCCCCAAATGCCCAGAACCTGGTTTCTGGAGCATTAGCGACACAGGGCTCTGATGACCGGTGGTGGCCATCGGCTCGTGTGGGACATTAATGACCAGCTGTAAGGGAGCGAGGCAGCTCTGCTAGGATTCTGGGCAAAGAAAGTGACATCTCTCAGGGAGCAGACTGGTTGTGGGGACGGAGCAGGGATTTCCTGTAGCTCTAGTGCGGCCGCAGGCCCAGCACGGGGTCACCAGGTGCAGAACTGGGCCAGCTCACCTCACTGGGCGGAGCAGCCGGGCTCTCAGGGAGAGCCTGAACCCCGCCCAGCCCTTTCCATCTCTTAGCTCAGATGAGTGCCTTCCCCAGCTCGGTTCAGGATTGGGGGGGCACGAGGTGTCCGTGAAAAGCCGCAGTGCACCCCACATTCTCCGAAAACACCTGTGATTTAGAAGGCGTTGTAGCCAAACCCAGGGAGAGGGAGGAGGAGGGCCTGAGGGCTGCCCACTGGGCTCGGAAGCGGATCGGGGAGGCGCGGTGTCCTGTGCTCTGCCTGGGGACCCGGCCCCAAGGGGCTGCACACGGAGGGGCCCAGGCCGCAGCAGGCCTCACCCCCAGAGCAGCGATCTGGGAGGATGCCAAACCCCTGAGCACGCTATTTGCTATTTACATGGAAGGAGACGTGCTTCGGGACAATCCCAACAGCTGAGGTCAGGGATTCAGTCCCACGATGTGCTGTTCTGACGCTACCGCCGCCAAGAAAACCGGCCACGGAATTTCCCAACAAACAAGCAAAGCCTGGCGCTGATAGGAAGCGACCTTCTCCACCTGCTGGTCAGGGAGCCCCTGCACCCCCAGAGCAGAATTTCCGTCCATGAAATTGAGATTGGCCCCGGGAAGTAGATTAAACCGTCCGCTACTGCAACAGGTAGAGCACTGTGATCACGTACTTAAAGCGTCCCTCGCGCTTTAGAACGCTGTGCGTGGGGAGACCCAAACCTTGAGAGTCTTAATTAAGAAGGACTTTCAGACCTGGGTCCTGGGACATCTAGGCACATCCCCCGGTTCTGGGGGTGGGGACCCTGCTTCGGGGGGAAGGGGCTGACCTCGGGGAGGCTGGTTCTCCCTTAGTCGCAGGGAGTGGGAGGCACCTCGGCCCGAGCCTGACTGTCGTGGCCCCTTCCCAGGTCCTCAGCCTCCCCCCGCCCCACCCGCTTCTCCACCCGCATTGAGGCCGGCAGGGTTACCTGCAGTTATCTTAGTGTTTCCTTCATATCAAAGTACACCTAGGAACAAGTGTCAAGAGCAACTGAAGAACATCACTGCATCTGGGGAGAATTCGGTGATTGTGCAGCTGTGGCGCGAACTCTCCAGCACCCGTAACTCACAGCTTTGGTTTATGGAAAACAGGGGTCCCCAGGGGAGCCCGGGCCTGGGGCCTGGGATGGAAAAGGGCTCGGTGGAGAGGCCGATGGGGTCTGATGGAGCCTGTGGCTTAGTCACCAGAGCTGGACCTCCCTTAACCGTTCAGTTTCAGCGATCAGACCAGTCAGTTACAGGGTCGACACTGGGGGAACCTGGAGGGAGGGCATGGAGAAACCCTACCACGGCCCAGCTTTCCTGTAAACCCACAGTTATTCAAAAATAAAACACTCGCTAAAGAACAGCTCATTACCAATGAAAAGAAGACACGCATTCGTGTCTAGATGTCTGAGGGCGAAACTTGATTTGACCTTTATTATTTTCAGGTTTTTAAACCGACTTATTGAGGTATGACTGCCATTCAAAAAGCTGTGTAAATGTAATGGCTACAACTTGATGGGCTGAAGATGAGACACTGGTGAAACCGACGGTATTTGCCCCGAAGGCCCTCAGCCCTCCCACGTCAGGGCTGGCAGATGCCGGCGAGGAGGGGAGGAGAGGGAGCCCCTCTGCGCTGCTGGGGGGAACGTGAAAGGGGCAGCAGCTCCTCAGAGAAATAAAAACTGAGCCACGCTGTGATCCGGCAATTCCACTCCTGCCTATTTATCCCAAAGAAACGGGACCTGGGCCTGCAGATACCTGCACCCCCGTTCAGGACAGCAGCACGCAGCCGGCCACGGCTGGGAGGCAGTCACATGGCCCGCTGATGGGCGATGGGACAGCGAGAACGGCCGCCTGCACACAGGGACCAGCACTTGGCCTCAAAGGAAGGAGCCCCTCTATCCACTTCAATGGCAGAAAGGTCACGACACTGAGGGGGCTGCATACAGATTGTTAGGTTTCCCGAAGCCGTCAGGTTTTGTCTGTGGTTCTGACGTTCAGACTCACAGAAAGTTCACTGACGAACTTATAGGCCGGGCATCCACATTATATGCGGCCGATTTTGGGAAAATGGTGCAGGTGGGAATTGGAAAGTAAATTGCAAACTGTAGTGCGCAGCATTAAATTTCTATTAGGGCCCAACAAGATTGGACTGTTCGGCTCTTCTGATAAAACTTGGAAGAGCTGAGGGGAAACAGCTTTTTAAGTTCCGTTCTTTGCCCATTAAATCAGAATGAGGAGAGGGCGCCCTTCTGTCTTGTTTGCTGTCCGGACTCTTCAGCCGTATAACTGGTGCTCTAAGACAGCCAAGCTCCGGCACCCCCACCTCAAGCCAGCTGGCCCTGTAAGCACGAGGACATCCCAGTGTCCTGATGGCTGTTCGAGCTGAAGGACGAGCACGGTGGGTTAGTTTAGGACTTTAAGAAAAGCCAGCGGGCCCCGCAGACCCCTTCCTGCCTTGGGGTTGGAGGAGGGCACCACGGCCGTGCCTGCTCTGGCCTCGGCCGAACAGCGGAGCTGGTCTTCGCTGCTCTTACAGGAGGGCCGGTCAGCACCTCCCAGGCCCTCCAGGGCATGCTTTCAGGAGGAGCCACGAAGACGCGGAAGGACGAGCCCTTCAGGGCCAGGAACTTGGGTCTGAAGGTCTGAGAGGAGCCAGCCCCGTCCAGCCTCTTGCTGGCCCACCCCATGTGCACAACCTGCAGGGGAAAAGCTGCACGTTAACCGCCAGATCTCAGCAGGAGCGCAGGGTCGGTGCGGGGGGACCGTGTCCAGCATGCTCGTGTCCGCAGACCGGACACCGGGAGGGCTGGCTCGGCCAATGTCCGACTGGCACCAAGCAGACACAGCACAAATGTGCCACGTCTGGGGTCGCTCGCCCACAGCTCTGCGAGGGGCCAGGCTCCGCGCGTGAGCTCCCGCGTGGCCTCAGTCTTGGCCCGTGCCGGTCTTCTCCGCTCCGTCAGAACTGTGCCTTCCATATTTATTTTTTTACTTTTTTACTTATTTATTATTTTCTTTTTTCGGAGGAGGTAATTAGATTTTGTTATCTACTTATTTATTTTTTTAATGGCTGCACAGAGGATTGAACGCAGGAGCCTGTGCAGGGAAAGCCGGCGCCCTGCCACGAGCTACACCCTCCCTTCTGCGTGTTTTTTAAAACATAGTATTTCCTTACACTCTCTTAGGGGTTAGTATTCCAGATTTGTCTACGCAGTTGCAGAAAGGCCTAAGTGTAATCTCCACACCTGTGTGAACGTTAGTTAACACACACGGGCGAAGCGGTCGTTCCTTCATAGTTCAGCTTCCTAACAACAGTGAACATAATACTGGGCATTGAGCCTTCCAAACCTGGAGACACAAAATGCAAACCGCAGCGATCAGAACACGACCTTAAAAGTTAATGAAGACAGAAGCATGGAATCCAGCGCGTGAACTGAAGTTGGCTTCCCCGAGGTTCTGACGTGATGCGCTCGCAGGCGGTGGGAAGAGGAATTTCGTTTTAATTTTCCCGTTTCCGCATTTTGCTACGTTAACAACAACAAAAATCCTGCACGGTGAACATTAAAACATGCTGCACGTTTAAACAAAACGAGGAGTACGTCATCACAGACACGCCGACCGCTTTATGGACCGAAACGTCTGAAGGCGGGCGTGCCCTCGGGGTCGGAGGCCCGGGAGCTCACAGGAGAGCTCTCCCGGCAGCGGCAGCCGCGGGCTCGAGCTAGGTCGCCTCCTTCCCATCTTCGCCGGTCCCGCCTCTGCCTGGTGAGAGGCTGCCTGGGTCAGGGCGCCAGGGGACATTTTACAAAAATGCCATTTTCATAAACAGTGTTCCTAGCAACGGACAAGCGGAAATCACGTCTCCTGTTTACGGAGAGTGGCGGCCACAGCCCAGCGGGCACCACGCTGCTGGGCCTGGGTGCTGAAGCCGGGAGCTAGGGCGTCAGGCCGGCCTAGACGCAGGAGCCTTGCAGAGTGGCCCGCTGGTTCCCTGGCTCGTGAGCCTGCCCGTTCCCTCTGGGCCTAGCCAGCGTCTCCCGAGGACGTAGGAACCACGCCACCGTGGTGAGGTTCCAGTGCTAAAACAGGTTGTCTACTGTGAGCAGACAAGAAAGTCATTTCATACGTGTCTCGGAGCCGTGTAACGTCGCTGGTCTCCGTTTTCTGTGATTAGCTCCCGTGGGAATTCCGAGAATCTGACGCTGAGCCTCGGGAGCCCCTCCCACAGCACTGGCAGGCCCAAGGTCGGGGGAGTCAGGGCTCTGGAAAGCACGCCGATGCAGCTGACCCCCTGAGCGTCTAGTGGCCTTGAAGCTGACCACACGGATTACCTAGAGCACCTCGGATCGACTGACTCTCCCCCTTTTTGTCTGGTTGGGTCACACAGATACACTTTCTAACACGAGCGGTGATACGGCTGTAAGTCGTAAGACGCGCTCAGTTTCCATTGTTAACCCCTGCTCCGTTGTAGCCGCGTTGTTTGTGTTCTTACCCTTTGAGTTTTAAGAGTTCTTTGTATATTCTGCATAAGGAGAACTTCATTTTCTCTCTGCAAGTCTAGCAGACCCTTGATATTTCTAAATGAATTCAAGGCGTGATTACTGAATCCCAGCTCACTGCTGTACGAGCGCGATGATTTGTACAACTTACGTAACACAGGACTCGTTCTGGGTACGGTTACCAAAACCAATGAACTGCAGATACACTGAGTGAAAACACACACAGTGAAGGAACATACGGAGCTGCAAACACACACAGTAAAAAGCGGGTTTGCTCAGAAGTCAGCCTCCGGTCCGTGAAGCCTGGGTGTGTGGTGTTAAGGAAGATGCCTTGGTTATTTTAAGCTGGTGCCTGTGATCATCCTTCTGAACGTCTTTGAGGGGCCGGTGTTTGGATACTTTTTCCTTAGTTCAAATTCATCAGAGCCAATGAGCTGCCCTGTGGTTTGGGACAATATCCACCCCATTATGCTATTTGCTGGTAGGGCTGCCTTCTTAGCGGTGGGCCGGGGGCCACTGGGTGACACTGGGGCAGGGACTCTGGACGTGGAGCCAGAGTTACTCGGAGCCCTGTGTCCCCGTCCTCACCCTCAGAACAGGACTGACAGCCAGGCACACGCCTGTTCTGGGCGCAGGAGCAGCGGTCTGCACGCGGGTGCTGGCATCGCACAATGCCAGATCGTCTCAGCACCCTTCTGGGTACACTCTTCTGGGACTCTGCTCCCCTCTGGGTCCGCGTCACACCCCACGCTCTCTGAGGGCGAGGCTGTGTGCCCCGCCATCTGCCCCGCATCCGCATCACACCCCACGCTCTTCGAGGGCGAGGCTGCACGCCCCGCCATCTGCCCCGCGGCGCAGGACTGGCCGAGGGGCCTGGTGCCTGCTCCCTGAAGGAAGGGGTGTCGTCCTCCCTCTGTCACTGTGCGTGTCTGCACGAGCAGCGGAAGGGGCACGCAGTAGGGCGTGCTGATGGGGGCATCAGGTCGGCCGGCTGGGAGGCCTCGGTTTTACTGACGACTGTCAAAGCCTGGAGCCAGAATTTTTAGAAAACATAGAAAACTGTTTCAACTCTAAATTGCTGCAAGTTTTCGAGGCAGCAGCTCAAAACTGTGCTTTGATGTGCCATCTGTCACCAGGAACCACACCGAGCTCCTCCTCCTGCCCCTGCGTCGGTGCGGCCGGTGGGGACACAGAATCATCACGGCCCAGGAGGAAAGTAAGTGGCGGGAAGCAAGCAGCCCCCACAGGCCCCCAGCAGCGCCGTGCGAGGCCCTGGGCCCCCAGACAGGCCCCCCTGCTGAGAACCCCGGCAGACAGGGCCTGCAGCCTGGGGTCCTGGGGGGGCGGGGGTGGGGACACAGTAATTCTTTTGTCTGCAATGGGGAAAACTCTGCTGGCATCTCCCTTCATTTTTAAAATCGCACATTCCAGTGCTGCCACGTCGCCCCGTCCTCTCTCTCTTCATGAACTACTTGGTCACGCACTGCAGTTCAGACGCCACGAGGGAAGAATGACGCACTGGGACCTGACTTGAGGGAACTTAAGACGGCTGTAACCCCCACAGACGTAAAAGTGTAGATTAATGGCAGGCAGAGAGATGCTGATAGACAGACAGACAGGAACACAGAGTCGCATCACAGACGGTCCGGCTGAGCGGAGAGCTGAGGGCATGAGTTCTGGCTGAAGCGGGGAAGCCGGGCTCTCTAGCACAGCGCAGCCTGTGCTGTCCCCGTGCGAGCCCTTCGGGGACAGAGGTACCGTCGATTCCAGCTTAGCCTGAGAGTCACTCTTTCTCTGGAGACCCGGGTGCCAGCTGGGACCCCAGAACCACATCGCCCAGAGCAGGACCGAGCGTGCTGGTCTCCCCACCGCCCCCCACCCCAGTCAGGCCGCCTCCCCCCCGGGGCTGGGCCGGCGTTGGGTTTGCTGTTTCCCCTCCCGGGTCTGGTTGACACAGCGCTGGGCACAGCCCTCGACAAGAGTTAGACGCTGAGGAGCCAACTGGGGGCTCCTTTCCTGGCCAAGGGGTCGACGCACAAATTGTCAATAATCTGAATCGTCTAAACATTGGATGTGAAGTTGATGAAATTCCGTATGTGACTGAAGTCTGCCTACGTTAATTAGCAAAGAAATACGTCACTGCTTAGCTATCACTGGAAACACTGGCAGCTTTACCAGCCTTTTTTAGGTATATGCAGCTCACAGTTTCAAGGGAAGCTGATCTTACCTTTTATGGCTTATTACATAATCCAAGAAGTGTCTGTTGTAATTTAGTGAACACGTACCTGACTATATTGAATCAAGGGGATCTAACCATTAAAATAAAAGAGCATATTTTCATTTATCTTTTCTGATTCATTTCTATAGAAAAGTCCTTTTACTTTGTTTCACCCGAATGAGTCAAAATAATTCGTTTAGCATCTACGAGATAATGACTGTACAACTGGTCTGTTCCTTGTCACAGGAAAAGCTAAAAAACGCGAGCTATTTAGGCTTCTTTTAAATTTGGTGATTAAGGAGCCGTGTCTCCCTTTAATTCAGGTTTTCAGGAAGTTCATTTTTGGAAAACAGGTTCTTGCTATTTTCGTAGGGTGAACACGTGTCCTGGTTCTGCTGGGGCAATTCTAAATCTGCTCCTGTGGTCTCAGCGTTACCGTCAGGTTGCTCTGCACCCCAGAAAGAAGCAGAATTACAGTCACGTTACGCAGCAGACGCGACAGCCTGAAACTCTACGCCCAGGCCTCTGCATTGTCCTCCTGACTCTGTTCGCTTCTGCTTTTGTTTGCCAGTCTCAGTGGCTGTCGAGCATCTTTATTTTTCATATTTATTCAGATATTATTCTTGCTACACACCAAGATCAGCAATTAATTCTTCAAAGTGAGAAAAAATCCTTTTTTTTAAACAGGGTGCAACACCATGAAACTAACCTCCTACGATGCAGGCAAAGTGTCTAGTGTTTAGAGAAGATGGGGAACAATCTAATTCTTTCTTAACCCTCCACAGCGAGGCTCCTCTGCAATATTTCCTTCCAAAAACCTAATTCAAGCCCTTCAGTAAATTCAAAGTTACATAGACATTTTAGGGTTAAAAAACGACTTTAGATTAGCCATGCCAGCTTTCCTATTTTCTAGATAAGAAACCAGGAATCAAGTGTTAATTTGCTCAAACGGCACCACCAGAGAAGGGATCGCGTGGGACCAGAATCCAGGTTTTATTCATACAGAGCCACCCAGACTGGCATCACACGAACATGGTTAACAGGAGGCGATAAATTTCACTAAGACAAAACCGAAGCAAAACTATTGCATGGCCTCGGAGGGTTTTGAACCATAATTCATTTAATGTCCTCCGTGCTGGGAGTCAGGTCCTCAGACTCTGTTCAGGGCTCTCTCCTGGGGCTCAGTTTTAAGCAAAACAAAACCCATCTTGACCTCCAGGCCGGTGCCCTTCCCAACCTGCCAGGTGACTCAAGTACAGCCATGAACCCCGGGGTCCTCAAACCCATGAGGTCCAAGTCCCGGGAGGTCCGCACGTCAGCAGGGCGCCTTCTCAGCACAAGGGGTGCTCATGGGCGCGGACTTGACCGGTTCCAGGCTACTGAGTGTGAGCGATGTGTTTGGAAAGTCCCGGGGGGGTGACTCCCCAGCAAGGACCCTAGAGAAGCCGGAAGGAAGGGGCTCTGGCCGCGGGCGCTCCCCGTGGTTCGGGAAGAGCCTCTGACTCAGCAGAAAAAGGCTCACGGGACCTCGTGCCGCTACTGATTGTGCCGACAGAACCCTGACCTCAAATGGCAAGCCGTTGTCGGGGGCAAAGGCACCGACCTGGTCTGTTCTCCCTCCCGTCAGCTTTGGGAGATAAATCCAGAGAAGACACACGACGTGTGAACCACGGGGAGGTGTGTCCCCAGTGGAAAGTCCAAAAGAAGCATCTGTCTTAGGAACACGAGGTGTAGCAAGGAAAGTGTGTTTGTGTGTGAGCATGAAGACGAGTCCTCTGTTGTCTGAGGACGTTTGAGGGACGTTACTCATCAAACAGCCCACCTCCCTTGCTGCCCCATGTACACAGACACAGCTGTTCACAAGTTCAGAGAAACATTATAAAAGGAATAAAAGGTAGAGGAAGTTTTCCTAGTGTTTCTTTTCTAATTTAAAAACGTCGACTAGAAGGGTTTACTTTAAAACATGGCTCTAATTTCCTGTAAACGTTTGATTGGCAGACACTTTCCTGAATGTCTTCCACTTTGAATCAAATTTTATCACTAAGCACTATTTGGAGTATTTATACACACTATTTAAAGCAAACTGAACGATTCTTTGGTTTTCTTAACTTGAGGCTGCAATGGTGCTTCCTCAAACCTATGGAATTAGAATCAGAAAGCTAATGGGCTATGAAGTTTTAAAGGTTCACGCCTGCAGCTTTGGTTTTGACTTTATCAGAAAGGAAACAGGGAGTAACACAGGGACTTCAAAGCTCGCTCCCCTGACACACAGCCGAGGACTTGTACCCCTAGTCAGCACGCACCCCTCGAGCCAGGAAGTCGGGCGTGTTCAGGGCCGGCCTCTGCTCTCAGAAGGAAGAACTGAGGGTTCCTCACGGGGCAGGGAACCTGGGTCGAGGTAGGGGCCCCCCAAAGTGAACACACCATTTGCGTCAGGGGGCGCTCTTCCCCAGGAACAGGATCTGCGGCGTCAAAGGCCTCCCCAGAGCGAAACTTCCCAAACGAGGGCACCATCTGAGAAAACGACAGGAATCCAGAAGCTACCTGCTGTAACTGACTACGCTTCAATGAAAAACATTCCGAATTACACAGGCGTGTCTCCGCCATCTATCCTCTCTAAGCTTAAAGGATCACACCCAGTTACCTTGTGACCACGGCCCCCTACAGAACGCGGCTGCCCACAGCACCGAGATCTGGCTCTCAGGGCAGAGCGGCTCCCGGCGCCACTCCCAGCACAAGGGACAGTTTTACGCGGCGGCACTGAGGGCGCGGCCCCAACTTGGGTCTGACGTGTGCTGGGGCTTTCACATCCACGTGTCCGAATCCAGCTTCAGAAACAGGAAGAGGCTACTGTTGGAGACTTGCACGATCCACACAAACGCAGTCCTACCTGGTCACCAGGAGAACAGCACGCATTCACCATTCTCACCTGCAAAGAGAGGGGAGCAAGGAGTCATTGTGACACGTGTATTAAAGCCGTAATTTCCCACCCTGTCGAGTTGACAGCTGAAGTTAATCAGCTGCATGAAGTGCCCTTGGAAACAAGTGTCTTTTAGGAAGCTTTTCCCCCCAAAACAAGAGCAGAAACAAATGCATGGTAGCAGCTCGCATCACAGAAAACCCAAGACGAGCACTCGGTCTGCTCTGTTTCTGGCATCAGCATTTTGTGAAGTGAGGCAGTGGGGCAGCTGCTGCTCAGAGCTCAGCCCCTGAGGGTCCGGGGACGTGGTCGCTGCCCTAGGTGATCAAGGTTGTTACAGTTCCCACATCTCACACCGCTCCTTCCTGGGTCCCCCAGCCATCCTGCACGGTGGACCTCACTCCCCCGGATTTACAGCACGGCCACGACTACGCAGCTGGAAAGTGGCTCTGAGCCCGCAGTTCTGGCTCTAGAGCGCTCATGTCTCCTCCCCCGCTCTGCCTACGAGCTGCTCTGTGTGCGAACCATCGGCCTGAAGGGCTCTCGTGGTCACGCGCATTCTCAAGTGTCCGCCCACCACCACCTGGGTGTTCCTTTCCTCCCATCCACCAGGATACCTTTGGAAGTCAAAATGTCAGGTAGGAGAACTGAGGTCCTAGAGAGGAGCAGGTACCCCCAGTGCAACGGAGAGCCCCACGGTCTGTGGAATAGAAACCTCACAGGGTCTGAAAGTGCTCCAGCAGCCCCCGGAAGGTGGCGGCATGTGAGAAGAGGGGGTGGCGGGCTGCTGCCGGGGCCGTGACTGGCTGGCCAGAGGGCGTCCAAGGACACCAGGCCCCTCCTCCACAGCGGCCCGGGGATGGAGCCGGCTCTGGGATGCCAGCGTGGCCAGCGGGGCACGGCACTGGCCGGGAATGAGAACCAGCAAACCGTGCCCGGCCACCTCCGGCCGAGCACTGGTCCTCCCACGAGCCCCGCACTGCGGACGCCAGGAATCGCCTCGGGGACCTTAATGCTGCACGGATGCTTGCCTCCCGCCACACCTCAACCTGCCAGCTATTTTATGTTTTAACTTCGTGCTGACTTTGATCGTAAGATGGTTCTCTCAAGGAGACAGAGCACACTTCCTTCCTGGGTACCTGCAGTGAACCAGGGCTATTCTTGGTAGCTGGGCGTCTTTGAAAGTTTCCTCAGTGTTTTGGGAAATGACATCTTGAACCCGATTAGGTTCCCCAAATAAAAACGCCACATCACACCGACGCGCTTGGGTAAAACGCACATAAAGGCATCTGCGCCCAAGCGTTTCTGTGCAGGCGGGAGGGGAGCGACCAGCGCGAAGAATCCAGACACTTGGTTCTGCCGCTGCTCTTACATCAGTCATTACAGCTTTGCAATGACTCAGTTGTTTAACTTTTTTTAGTCAGAGATTCGACATGTTCTTCTGTTTAATGTTCTTACCAGTGTGTTAGGCCCAACTGCAAGTAACAAAAAAGTCTTAATTGCTTTTGTGGACACGGCGGGAGGTCCGCACTCACGTCCTGCAGCGTCCGGTGGCTGATGTTTGCTGACACGGCCCTGAGCCAGTCAGCGCCGTCCTGGGCTGTGTGAAACTGCAGGAGCCCGTGCTGCCCTGTCTGGGGCCAGCACCTTGAATGCGCCGGACCTGCGGGAAGAGCGGAGACGCTGGAGGGGGCCCCTCGGATCCAGAGGGGGCGACCGGAGGGGGCGGAGGTGACCCCGTCCGCAGTCACCAGGGCAAACCCAGCGCTCAGCCAGCCCGTGTCAGGACCTCGGGTAGGTCTGCTGAAAGCGAGCTCAAGGCCCTGACATCCGCCACCAAGAGCCAGTCCTATTTACTAAACACGTGGAAGGCAATTCGGACAGGAAGTGCGCCCTGCTCTCGCGGGAATGGTGGCGTGCCTGTCTGACGGGGTCCTGAGCCCAGCTTTTTGAAGACCGTTCATCGTGGTGTTTGAAGCTCCTGACACAGGGAGACGGCGCAGGTCAAGCAGCGCCGCCACTCAGCGTGAGGCGCGCCTGTGACCACGCACGCACTTCTGATTTACAAAAGGGCTTTCGAAGAAGTTGGTTCTCCTTTATTTTCACCATAAAAACCTCCTTCCCCAAACCTACCGTGACAGTTCTCGTAACAGCAACATAACTGTAACTAACTCAGTAGTTCTTTCCTACCCTGCACAGCCTTTCTTTCCAAGCGGATGTACACACATCTACTGTCACAGGCTGACGTGTGTCCCCCCAGGATCTGTATGTGGAAGCCCAGACCCCAGGGCGGCGTCTCTGCAGACGGGCCTCCAAGGAGAGAAGCCTGAGCGAGATCGGACGGGGGGCCCTGACCCGACAGGACTGCTGTCCCTGTGAGATGCGGCCCCGAGCTGGTCTCCACCCGAGGACGAGCTGCAGAGCCGGCCACTGGGCAGTCAGGAGGAGAGTCCTCACCAGGCACTGAACCCCCCGGAGCTTTGATCCTGCACATCCCGCCTCCAGAACTCTGAGAACATACGTTTCTGTTGTTTAAGCCCCAGCCTATGGTACTTTGTTACTGCAGCCTGAACTAACGTAATTATTACAATAAAGGAGTGTCATTCATACCGCTGTTCCTTTTTTAAAGAAACCATGTATCTAATCCATGCAGTTTGCATTCATGTCCTTAAGGAGACAATTGAAAGGTTAAAAAAATAACAAAACAAAACAAACCTTTTTTTTTAAAAAAAAACAAGGTTTGCACTAAATTACACTTTAATAATCTTTCAGACATGGGTTTAATCATGGTTTCATTAAACAGACAGAAGGATGTGACGGAAGGGAAGGAACCGGAGACGACATAAAACAGCCCTGCACATTCAGGGCCGAAGCCGCCAGAGCAGGGTCCCTGACCGCACAGCCCTGTCTTTCCATGAGCACACATCCCGGCCAGGTGTCAGTCCCGCCTTGGGGGGGCTGCCTGGGTCAGAACACAGGGCCCTTTACAGCCACGTGCGTCCCCGTCTCCACGTCCTGCTCCAGAGCCCTGGCTCAGAGATCCCACCTGGGGGTCGGGGGGCCGGGGAAACAGGGCGTAAAGTCTACAGCTCCTGCCCTCCTTCCAAAGGAACTCACTCCGTTTCCAACAGAACTTGGAGCAGTCCAAGGTCGTGGGCCCAGAACAACGGATGTTTTGGTAAAAGACCACCGAAGGAGCGTCCTGGGGCGGACACAGGCTGAGCTGTCGGCCGGCTCGCTCTCAGGAGAAACCCCGGGAGCGATGCAGCCGGAAGGGGCCCCCTGGGCTCGGCTCAGAGCTCGGACGCTGGCCCAGGAGCCGGGGCTGGTCTGGCCTTCTCACCGCAGGGTTTCAGTGACGTCTCTGCAGGTTGGACAGCAATGCCTCTTATTTCCAGTCTAGTTCTGTTCACATTTAGAACTGAAAACAGCATTTCTCCTTCTAGTGACTGACCCTTCGCGGAGGCCCGACGGACACCTTTCCACAGTCAGAACCACTCCTGGCGGCAAACCAGCTCTCCTCTGATCACGGACTTCTCCCGGTGCTTACCTGGTGTTGCCGTCATCACTGACTGTTGCTGCTTTTGCACACGCGGAACCCGCCTGGACGGAGGGCCTGCACTTTGGGGAGGCCAAGGGGGCGTCACCGGCTGGTGAGGCTGCAGGGTTTCTCAGCGACTCCACGTTGGACGAGGGACACACACCTCAGCCCTTCCGCCCCCGCTCTGCACCGCGAGATCCGGGCCACGGATGGGGGCAGCGACAGGGCGTCCAGCCAGCGCTTCTCATACTTCGGTTCATCACCTGCGAGCGAGGAAGGTGAGGACGGGGCCTGTGCAAGACGGACGGGAAGCGACAGGCACAGAGTCGGTGGAGAGCAGGCCGGGCCCCCAGCCCCCAGACACACATTAAACACGTTTCAGCTGCTGCAAGAGCAGGTGCGGCCGTGTGCCCAGAGATCCGGGAAGAAATACGTCCTCTTCTACCTGAATTTAAATGATGTTCTTCCTCTAGTTTTAAAAACAAAATGCTGCCCCAAAGAGAGGAGAGTCGCAAGGGAGGGGAGGGAGAGAGACTACAGCTGGAAGGAATTTCAGGGACGTGACGAAGGCTCTGGGTCCAGGGAAGCCGTGAGCCACCTCCCCGACCTGGAAGGTCAAATTGGAGAGAGCTCGAAGCCAGGACACAGCGCACAGTGATACACAGAAACACTGACAACGTGCTGATGTCGCCCAGGCCACACAACCGGGCTTATGCACGAACGGCAAAGACCTCAATGTCCACCCGATGGACGTGAGCAGCAGGGAAGCCGCTGGGGATGGGGAGCCAGGTCCCTCCCCAGCAGGGCCTGCAGGTGCAAGGAAGGTGTGTGGAAATGTGAATGAAGCCACGCAAACAGCCCCATTTCCAGACAAACAACCCGCAGGTGCCCAGTCAGCAAACTGCCGGGTCCTGGGCCTGAGGGAGGACACAGCCCTGGGCCCAGGCGGCTGCACCTCGCCGGACGCCAGATACTGAGTCTGCTTCACAGGGAAGCGTCCTCACAGCAGCCGGGCCAGGAGTGAGAAAGGCAGGTTTTCCCGGAACCTTCCATCCAGGAACAGAGCAGAACAGGGTACGAATCCCCAACATACAGCAAACACACTAATGAAGACGGCGAAACCGATCGGCCCCGAGGGCTCCACCAGAAAGGCTCACGCCCAGGGAGGCCGCACAGACTTCGGTCCCTGTGTGCCGACCCCCAGTGCCCAGAACGCGGGAAACGGTCTCACGGATGAAAACAGGGGCCTGCGGGGCGGCGGTGCTGGCAGCGTGCTCCTCTCAGAAGAGTAAGGCCGTTCAGGATGCGTGGGTGTGAGAATACCCCAGAGCTCCCACCTCGGGAATCCAGCAGGGCCTGAGAACTGCCCTGACAGCCAGGATGCCCTCCTCAGACCAGACTTCCCACGAGTCTGTGTTGGACAGTCTCTGGCTGGACAGCGCCCCTACCCCAGGATGAACATATTGGGTCCCAATCCCTGGAACCTGGCACCTCATTTAGACAAAGGGTCCTGGCCACGTGATTAAATTAAGGACATGGAGCTTGGCATTGACCCCGGATTACCTGGGTGCCCCCGAAAAGCTACTGCAGCCATCCTCACAAGAGGGAAACAGACGGAGACCACAGAGCGGGAGAGCAGGGCCCCGTGAGGACAGAGGCTGAGTCAGGAGCAGTGTGGACACACCACAGGGGGCCTCCCGCCGCCTGATTTCAAGCCCTGGAGGCTGGATTTGGGTCCCCCCCAACATTCTTTATTTAAGTGTATTTATTAATTCCATGGCCCGTAGCTCGGAAGCAAAGGCATTGCAACAGACGTCTAAGCGAGATTTTACGACTGCTCCTCCGTTGCCATCTTTCTGCAGTTGCGTTCTAACGCCTGCTGTGGGATTTGCTGGTGCACACATGAGCATGGAAGACTCAGAGCCAGCACTCAGGGTGGACTTCCTACTGGCCTTCCTGAGCGACCGTCTGTCTACACCACGGCTGCCCCAGGTAAGGACTCATCATTCACGACACGCCGCGGCCCGTCTCCAGCCACCAGCTTCATCACCGTCAGCTGCAGTCACCACACCACGTCCACGGTGCGAGGGTTCTTCACACACAGTTTCCCTGAGGTTTGCGGAGCGCGGTGGGCTGCGCGCTGACTCACACCTGTGACCACAGCGTGCGTCCTCACCAGAGTTATTGGAATCCTGCTGCAGCACCACCACTGAGGTCATAATGATTCCAGGACACAATAAACATTATTTAAATGAGCAAAATAATACGGATTGTTTAATAAAATCATTTAAGTTTACTCTTCAAAACATACCAGAAGAAGCAATTTCCTACTACGAAAAACAACTTTTCTTCTATAAAATCAGGCTGCACTTCGTAAGCCCTGGGCGCATTTTAGCATCAGACTGTGAGGTTTTAAAGGAAGCTTCCGGTTCCCTCTCCCTGGGAGCTCTTCTGCCCCAGGGGCCCCTGCCCAGCCCAGAGTTTCAGGTCAGACCTGATGCAACTTTCCTCTAGAATATTTTGTAGAACCCAGAGGCTGAAGGGGGCC